AGTCGAGGTCTATGAGATCAGTCGTTTATATTTTGAACCTGCGTCAGGGTTTACGAACCCACTCCTACCCCATGTCCCCTTCTCGCACGCAAACATTTTCAAACAACAACACCGATTTATCAGAAGTGGGTCACACGACCGTAGTAACATAGCTGAAAACCAGATAATACTTGAAAGCGGTTTTTCAATTCTCTTCTCCCCAAAATCCCGAGTGATGATTGATCGATAGAACGCATATGCGGGAAATCGACTTCGTTTGTTGTATGATTGAGTCTCAACTCTAAAGACAAAAACCGAAGCAGACCGTCCCGATGATCGCAAATGTGCACGCTTTGTAGTCAACACGGCAGGACCAGTTTATTTCTTCACTCACGAGGGGAATTTCCTTCCGGCAATAACAGTCACTTTGGTAATCTGGAGTATTCTTTAATTGTCAACAATGTGGATCGAAGATGTATCAGCTGGACCGATTTCATGTTTTATCATCAATAAGTGTCTGGCGATTGATGCGTACAGGGAAGCGGCAAGAACCACGGCACGAAACAAGCTAATCGATTAATTGTAGATGAGTTCATGGACTGAATGTAAACATGACACCAAACTTGTAGTGAGCAGCCAGTTAACGAAAAAGGTCTTGCGATTATTAATTTTGTGCCTGTGTAAGCGTACCCATGAAGTTCCCAAAATGCTTGGATGATGAGGCATTTCGCGCAGGTCTACCGCAAAGAGAACAGCGAATACAAAAAAACCATGCTAGAAAGCATTGTTTTAATGAAGAGCAATCAAAAGGTTCAGGGTTTGATGAAAGGTTTAGGACGGAAATGAATGAAGTGAACCAATGCAGCAGCAATATAGAAACCCTATTAAAAATGATATGTTTGGAGTAATTATATATATATCATAATAAGTAGTATGTGAATGACTGGACAAAATATCCCTGTAAGCACACGACCGGTTTCGCGGTCCTTGCCGCTCGTCAGGGATATATATATATATATATATATATATATATAGGAGAAGGCTAGCACTAAGTGATTATATTTATTGTGACCTTTGGATCCAGACTAGGACTCGTTGTCAAACAATTGTGTAACCGTTGTGAAGACTGGAAACTGTGACGCTAGGACTTTTTTCCAATTGAAATCAGATGCGACAGAATCCTCAATAAAGGAACGCCAGGTTTTTTAAAAAACCGGTCGAAAAACTTGAGAAAAAAACCTAGGGGCCAAAATTTCCAATTTGTTTGAGCCTACGTACTCATATGCCTCATCAGGCTGTGTACTTTCAACCGGGCTGTCCGACGTTTCTGTTTGGTCGAAAATAACGAAGAGAACGCACCGGAGATTATGAAATGACCCAGTTTTCAGACATTTTCTTCGCTAATGTTCACTCCTGTACCCGATGTATCCGTGATTCTGTTTCCGTTCAGGGAATTAGAGGTGCCATATTTGATAGGCTACAATACTTTAGAAATGTAAGTGATAAGTGTGATAAAGCAAACGGATAAACAACAAGAATACCTAAACTGAGGATGATCATAACTGGGTCTAGGTTAGTTCAACTGGGTCCCTGTGAGAATAAGGTCGTGACTGAAATTTTAAAACGTTGATTGGATTTGCGAGTCATGTAGACCGGATGAATCTGGAGTGTGTAGGACCGCTGCATCAGTTTTCAATGGGATCAAACTGGTGCTTTTAATTTCGGGTTGAAAAGTTGAGAATAAAAATTGGCAAGCGAGTGAGTTGTGTACAGCAGTCTTGTTGATTAACGGTGAGCGTTTAGTCAAAGAACAAATGCGGGTCTATGTGGATTGAAATAAAGATTCCCGTACGAACAAGGGGGATAAGTGAGGGGACAAAATTTTCGTATTTACGCTGTACAGTAACGGAATGAATGAGCAGCTTAAATGCAGACAGAGAAAGCGTTTGGAAGAAATCTCTGTCTGCACAGTAATGTGCCACTGAAAGCGTTCCCTAAAATCGTTAAGTCATGTTGATTTAGTCAGTCAGTCGGTCAGTAACAATAAATTTTTTCAACGCTATGAGACACTTCACCCGGGGCAAATCGTGAGAACATAGACTGTATGAGAAAAGAATTGCGTATTAGTATATGGACGCATACAAAAACGGGATCAAGGGGAAACCGCAACGGGGTTAGGGAATTTGTTTGATTTAGGGATAGCAGTAAAAACGGACTAGAAATGCAGATTGGGGTGACCTCACGGAGCAAGAATGAGCAACGGGGACGGTTGAGTAAGGATCAACGAGATGGAGAACTACTTACAAGTAGCTGTGACTGCTTGGGTGTGCGATCTAGAGTCTGGATTTGGTAAAAAATAAAACGTGTGCACAAATCAGAATAATTGACACGCGCCATTTGAATGCCAACATTGTTCTTTACCGCGAGAGGGCAGTTTGCAGTGACAAAAAGTCAGAAGACTGCAATCATTTCGCCGGTTTTGTCCAACCGGACCATATGATTAGTCAGCGAAGTTCGACAAGTAACCCAACAAAAGAATACAATTGTTTTAACTGACAAAATGACTGACAGCACGACCCGGGATACAGGCCATCAAATTCGACCGGGATCCGCGTTCAGTGTAGTCTATCGTGTGCCCCCAACCCCTCTNGCCACCGCTGAGGGGAAAGGCATTCGAATTTTCACACCAGAACTATGCCCACTAACGCGACTGGTTGAAGCTCTCCACTTACCTTGGTCCCAAGCTGATTATCAACATCACCCCCATCACCAACAACGATCACAACCGATCTCACCCAAACGCAGTCACAAAGGGCTCATCCACCCCCTCAAATGACCTTTCGACCCAGCGTGAGAATGTTTGCCCACTAGCCACAAACCCTGATATGAACTGTACAGGCACGATTATGAATCATTCGAAAACTATTGTTCGCCTTCAGACTTGTTCTAATGATTCAGAGTTGTTTATCATGTCTCCCACACCAAGGGCAAGGGTGTTCAACTGCGTACCCTAACAATAGCCGAAACGATCGGGATAAGAAAGTTGACCCCTGATCTCTGCGCCCAAAAGCGTTTGGTTCCGTCACTCCAACTTCCATGGCCCGTGATCGATCGGTCCCGAATGTGTCTGCAGTCCAGTCACCCTGGTGCATTAACTTAGTCAAACCAATCAAATGCCAAATGCCAGTTGGCTATGACAAACTCTTACGCATGATTGGTGATGTGTCTAACTATATGATCTATTTTCTAATGCTACCTATGTGATCTGTAAACGGCTTGAGAAGGAATTACTGAAAAACACTTATTTCGCCGAACTGTGTTTGTTCTACAAATATTTGTCAGGATGGTTTACTTAGCATAGAAATTTTGAATGACTAACATTCACACTCAGTCGTCAATCGATCATATAGTTTCTGCTTGTAGTGTACAGTGTTGACATTTTTTCCGTTTCAGTTCGGTGATTTGTGAAAGAAGAAAGTTGACCAAACCAGGTCTGAAATCTCCCGTACCGCTTGATATACGTGGTGGCGGAGTGTGTGGGCGGGCGGGTACTTAGAAACTTTGATGGATACATTTTCAAATAAGGCAATTTAACTTCAACCAGTCAATTGAGTAGCTAATCAGATAATTTCCCTGCCCAGTTGTATGTCATTATTTACAAAACATGTGTTAAAGAAAAGTGAAAAAGGAGAACAATGAAAGCCAGTGAGAGGACTTACGCTAGTTGAGGCCTGAAACAAATAGAAAGAGAGACAAATTCATTAGGAAGAACCCTCGGTCTTCATGGACAAAGAATAAAAAGTAAGCTTTCAACCGTGAGAGTTCGCTTCTGTTTCTAGATCTAAATACAGGAATTAAGTAACTGTGGCGTGACCCTGGAGTAAAGGGTGTGTCGGAATAGCTTATAGTCCTCCTTGAACACTGAACTCGATCGCATAATTCGAATTAAGCTTGGCTGGACCAGTTTATTCAGCGTTCAAGAAGACAGAGTCATATGGTTGAGTATCGTAAAGAAAGAGGCTTGTGCGTCTATTCATTCTATATACACCTTCATCTTCATACCACTCTCAGCTCCTCGTTTAATCACTTACCGTGATTTGTCGGCCGACCAGATGGGCAACCAAATGTACAGTACCTCAAACTGGAGCAAGGTAGAGCAGGATTATCGGCTGCATCAAGTACAACGTAAACCGAGAAGTTTCCAAAAGAGCAAATTAAATTGAAATTCAAAAAAACGGGATGGAGGAGCGAACGCATAAGGTCAGTGTGAGTGAGTGAAGGATCATAGCGACAAGTACCCAAGATGCCGAACCTACCAATCGACAGTCTGGTACACCCAGGAAGTTGATGTTCATCAATTGCGCGTCCAAATAAGTATCTAGATCACGGAAAACAGCAGCCTGCTCCATACTACTTGTTTCATCCAACCGTATGTCATCTGCGAAGTGGCGGAAGTACATCAATCAAAGAACGAAAGCAGGGGAAGACAGGGAAAAAAACGATGGGCAACCGACGATGAAACCACAGTATCATTATTGCAATAGAGGGATACATATATACATTTATCTAATATGAGGTAAATGTGTCATGGAAGATATACGCCTAACACGCAGAGCATTCGTATTCGTAATTGCTGTGGGAAGACGTTACTTATTGCACCTATTCACTAACTCATAAATGAGAAGACAGCTTCAATCGGGGTAAAATGATTTTATCGTCATTAGTTGGAGCGGATTCGAAGTTCTGATTCTGGGATAATGATAATCAACTGAATCATTACACCCCTTTAAATAAAAGAAACATCTAGCAATGAACGAGTGAAACACAGAGAGTGCCTTCGATATATAGATACCAAAACAACACCTGTAAACCAATCACAGAACAATCAATGACGCCAATGCACCAACCAGTGATACAATGAGTAGATCGAGGGGTGGGGGTGGAGACAATAAGCAGATATGACATGATGACACAGTACTACACAGGTGAGATTGGGGTTCAGTGTACACTATCTACTTCACCATCGCTCGAATCTGCTCGTGCGTTCTGAACACGGAAATATTTCGTCATAGACTTATGAGGAATATACTGGTTCGCATGTGGTCCGAGTCTCAAAGGGCAGAAACAGAAATAAAAACAGACCCCTGTTCGAGTTTCGGGTTGTGTTTTAGTCAAACATGTATTCTTATGATAAGTCAAAACAGCATCCAAATAAGTCTTTAATTAGAAATAGATCATCCAAACTAGCACAACCGGTTTTAGGAACGAGAGCTAGGTCAATCACAAGTTCAAGACACAGACACACCCTTCAGAGAAACGTAGCGCCAGAGTTTGAAGCGGTCGACTGAGTCGAAAG